ACTAGCTCTGCAGCACAACAATCAAGTAAAGGTATTCCACAACTTCTTATATGCTATTGCATTATATTTATATCAAGTGAGCAATTAACATGATAATGATATTTCCTCTTATTGAACAAGGAAGAGAAAAGTGAGTCATATTGAAGATGATGATGATATGACATTCATAAATACAATTTGAGAAGAAGATTCCCTTGAAGACCCATTTAGTGATGGGATATGATTGCATTTTATATGTTCTTTGTACTTTGGGAGTTTTGTTAAACTAATATTTTGTGATGTTGCACTTTGGGACATGATTTTATTGCATTTATTTTCTTACTTTCCACTATTTTCATATATCATTTAGATGTTTTTATTATAAGATAGAATATTGCTATTACTTACCTGCTAAAATCCTTAATTTCTTATTTACGCAATTCTTTGTCCTCACCCTCACGGACGAAAACTGCCTCGAGGCTTAATTACGTAATTTTAAACCTTATTCAATAGCATGTTGCATGATTTTAAGAGAAAGCAATTCATCAAGAAGTTATTTAAAATTAATATCACTAAACTGAGAATGAAGTGAGGAAACCACAACAGGCATATAAATCTCATCAGAGTTTGGGGAAACTTCGTTTACATGTAACACCCGAAGAATACTAGGATTAGAAAAAAATCTTTTTAAAAGATCTAAAACATATAATTTCTATTAATAAGGTCATAGAAGTAGGCAGAATAGACATACTAGAACTATGATGAGAATTGAAAATGTTATCCCCAGAAGTATGATTTACTATGAGAATCACTTGAAGCATAAAACATTTCTTTAAAGTGGATTTGGGTTACAAATCAAAGTTTAACTTGTGAGGTGCAATGATGAAAGTTTACACCATAGGCATCACTAGTAAGAATTTAATAGTTTTGTTATTATATTTAAAAATATAAGTATTTTTCAACTATAATGAGTACCACTCATATCAAATAATCAAGATCTTCCTCACAATATATGAACAATGTCCATGGAAATGACATCACATTAGATTTGATATTCAAAACTATCAACCTTGACAGAAACTAGGCATCTAGTGGTGATGGGGAAAGGAATTGTCGATCCAACTAACATGAAAAAATTCTAAGTGTGGTTCGATCTTAAGATTGACTCTAGTCATGGTGCAAGTTAAGATAATATTCATTGCACTTCCCTCATCTATTACTAATCTACATATTTTCTCGTTACACACCACACACATACTAAAATTGTTCTTCCTTTTCAAATCATCAATCTCATTCTTGGCTATAATCGAGCATCTCATCACATTGAAGAGAGGGTCATTTATACATTCTAATTCTTCATAAGATATTACATCATCATAAACATCTTCTAAATATCATCTATGAGGTCCTAATTGTTTTCTAAGAATGAAAATTGGGTTTTATATTGATTTGCATGTGATCCTGTTTATGATACTTATCATAAGAAAGGATTCACTAGCCCTATCATAAGAAAGGATTCACTAGCCTTAAACCTGCTAGAGTGACTCACAAGCTCTTATAGAGAATTCCACCGTATGAAAATTTTTCTTTGCTATCCAAAAGTTTTAACAAGACTTGCTTCTTCTCAGATTCTCTGTGATATCAAATATGATGATAGTGAGTATCCTTATATTTACTGGTGGAAATTCCAAGACCAGTCCACCTTGGGCTAGTTTGAATTAATTTAAAAGATCTCTTTAGGAAATAGGTTTTAATGGGCTAAATGGTGGGAAATGAAAATAGATAGTTAGCTTCAGATGTGGACTAATGATTTGGAGTAAACGGTAAGGTTTAGAGAATTTAACTTGGTGTGAGGAGGCAGGGAATAAGACTAAGTCCTAATCTTGCTCAAATTGGTCAAGAGCTGCACATGGTGTTTTGGAGTGGTAACGAGGCTTGTGTTAGGTTGTGGTTAATCTTAAGGGATGACTAAGATGTAGGGTAAGTGTGAGAAAAATTGAGAGTAAATGATTTAAAAAGAGTTAAAACTTAAGATTAAAAAATATAACCACCTAATCTCCTCAAAGAAAAGGCACGCACTTGAAAATTCACCAATCACTAAATAAATAAAAAATAATTCTCCATCAAACATTTCAATTTAAAGCTAAAATTATAATTCATATCAAATAATATTTATAGGCATTACGAAACTCTTAGGCAACCACTTTTTGAGATAAAAAAGAGAGAAAAAGGGAGGGGAAATAGGAGTTGGTGGCATTAATGAGTTCCAATCACCTATTTTCATTGCTTCATCCATACCAAATTATATCATAAATAGCAAAATAAGTTCCTAGGTGAAAAATAAAATAATAAATTATAAATTATATTTTAAATATTCTAAATTATGAATAAGCTCTTAATTGAGCACTTGCAATTGAGCTTTTAATTTGATTATCTTTATTCACATGATGTGCTACATCACTTGGCCTAGCCCACAACAACCTATAAGCCCCATAAATAAATCCCTTTCTCAAGCCACATCTAAACCTTTCAAAACACAAGCCCTCATCCACACCAAATCCATCCACAAAGCCTTCTACCATATGGGTTGATGATTTAGCTTCAATTGTTGTTTGGGATATAGGTTATGCAGCCCACAATTTGATGATTTTGATGCTAGCATTTCTACTACAAGATAAAGTAGACAAATGTTTCAAAAATTATTTACCAAAAAGAACAGAAATAGAAAGAAAATATACATCACAAACCAAAATTTACCAAACTTCAAACAAGATACATCAAATAAATCTCTTGGGGTTTGTTATTCATCAAATGATCTCTCACCTATTTGATGTATTTAATGTATTTTTGAGTTTCTCATCCAACTAGCAATTCTTTACAATTGCATGATATTGTAATTTTATTGACTAGTTAAAAAATTTACTTTATGTATTAAAAAAAGAAGGCTTCCCTCACCTATCATACATCACCACCAACCAAATAGGAGTGTACATTCCACTTAAAGATCCTATAAACACCAAAAATCATCATATATACTATACTAATCCATATCTCTTCCAATGTGATCAAAAACAAATATAGAACTTAGGGGAATTCCAAAAGTCTAGAGCTAGTACCACAAACATCACAATAGGAGTAAAAAATGCTTTTTGGATTTCGATGTACATATAATGTTGGTTAACGAAAAGCTTCATTAATGGAAAATTAACCATAATTATTATAACATAATTACTTTTGGTCATAATTATCAGGTTTATCAAATTTCAAAAATTTATAATGAAAATTCTATTTGATCAATAAGTTCAATAAAAGGATCAATAATTGGACAAACCCAAGATTAATATATCATAGATCACAGATCATCTCCCATCCATAAGGGATTGAAAATTGCACGTTATAGATTGCAACAAAAACTGCAATGAGTTTCGCATTGATAATCATAGTTAAAAATGATGAAATAATTTAATTTCCATCATTTGTGAGTGCATAATTCATAATCATAAGACTATTTATAAGCTCGTCAAAAAGTCGGGTTTTCAATATCCTTGTAAGGTTTATTATACTCCATCATTGATCAAACAAGCTTAACTTATTCTAATTCATATGTGTTTATAGCAAGGTTTAAAATTGCACAATTGGGTATTGCTACATTTTTCATTCATAAGGCGAGGCGTAAGTCTCAAGAAATGTTGAGGTGTAAGCCTCAAAATTCAGAAATTGTGTAAAGTAAAAATAAAAGTTAAAAAAAATTATATATTACATAAGTAAAATGTAAAAAAATAATATATTAACTTTCTATTAAACTACGAAGTAAAAAAATTGACATATATATGAAAAACAAATTGCACAAGATGTCAAGTGACAAGTGATAAATTATACAAAATAGAATTAAAATTTAAATACTACAAGAGAAAAATAACAAAAATATATAAATTGTATAAAAGTATCATAGAACATCAAGTTCAACTACTTTTTTTTTGTCAATTTCCTACTCATCCATATCTAATTTATAAAGAAAGTTGAAATAGTTGTCAACTACTCAAAAATCATCTGCACTGTAATCACTAATAGTCTTTATTTAAGCCGTCGTCATAACAAAATTGGTCCCTCCTCTACCTCAAGTAGAGTCCAATGCCTCTCAATATTCTTATTCTTCATTTATTTAAGTAATATTTCTCTTTCATAAATATTTTTCATCAACATCAAGATAAGAGTAATACTCTAAAATTTTTAGAGGAGAAGGTGGTGGTTGTGTGCAGCTTTCAAGTGATCCCCTGTGACAGCTATGATGGGGGTGGTTGCGGCGAAGGCGGCAGGCTGGAAGTCGAGGCAATGGAGAGGAATATGTTGCGGCTCAGATGTGCATGAAGGCTTGATTTGTTTGCAGCTTCAATTAAGGATTTAGGTAAGCTAATGCATGCCTCATAAAAAAAAGTTCGAGATGTAAATCTCGAAGCGTTTTCACTGGAATTGTGTTGAGTCGGGCCTCAAGACGAGCCTCATATTTCGCAATTTTAAACAATATTTAGCACTTTCTAACAAAACATTATTTTTGCTTTTTCAATGCCTTTGTTGTTTCAAAAAGCTTTCTAAATTTTCATTCATAATATTTTTAATTGATCCTGTGTATCTTTTTTCAATCTCAAACTTGGCTTAAAAATTGAACATTTGTTACTTCAACTTGCTCAAAATAACATAGTGAAAAAGCTAAACAGAAGCAAAGGAAAACAAAATTGGAATTTGTTCTAGGCACTGCTGAAACGAAACTAATACAAATACATATTTTAATAGGGAATAAATGATAAGATGCAATTAATCATTCAACCCATAAATTACACATAACGTATGAGAGGTTAATATACAATATCAAGAGATTGAAGTTGCTGAAAGGAGAGCTTATTCAAAAGACATTTACAAAGCAATATTAAAGAAACAAATGTACATAACCCATGAAGAAATATCTAAGAAAGCTGCACAAGAAGCATAAATAAAAAGGCAAAGAAGATGCTAGAGTTATTTACTTCGAAATAAGTGATTCTCGAGGCTTCCACGGAACATGAACTCATAGACAAGAAGTCTGTGATCATCCTCACAGCAATATCCAATCAACTTCACTAGATTAGGATGCCTTAGTTGTCCTAGAAATTTAACCTCTGTCTGAAAGGGAAATTACTTAACGTTAAGCAGAATATTTAGCAGCAGACATTGAAAAAACATAAACATGAATATGTTGTCGTTTTATTTTCTTATTTATGTATTTCTTATTTCCAGTTGTCGTGGTATTTGTTTTATGTGGTTTTCCATTGTACCCTCTCACGAAGGGGTGTCGTATGTAAGCCCAAGGGGCATTAGTGTCTTTTGTCTTTGAGTCCTTTGTATGAGGCTTTATATAGCCCTCCTTATTTTCTTTTGAGGTTAATGAATGATTATTTGATAATTATGTTTTCTTGTTGGAATTCTTGAGAGAGCTTGAGAGATCGGAGAGAGATCCTTTGGAGAGAGAATTGGCACATCACTCGCCAACCTAGATGAGTCAGGTTCGTGGTTCTACCTTCTTTCTTCCTTCCCCTACCATCACCGGCCACACTAACTTCCCCTCCACCAAGCCGCCACCACTACCTACCCGAGCCTTCATTTTTCCCCCATCAAACTCCCCAAGCCCCTCCACCTAGTCGCCGCCTCCCATAACCCAACCTCAAGCAAGCCACCGGCCATCCCCCCCAGTCCTTACCTTCTCTTAGATTTATTTTCAATTCTAGATTGTCATAATTTTGGTTGAATTTTGAATTCAAATTCCCCCAATTTGAAATTTAAAATCTGTCATAAAATTATAAAATCTATTTTAGAAAAGTTTCCAAAATTGAGTCTGTTTGAATTTCAAATTCAAATTGGGTTTATTTAATTACTTTCCTAATTTCTAAACTTAAGTTAGGAAAGTAAAAGCTCCTTCCTCTCTCTTGGAAAGATTTCCAAGTCCCCTTAACTCCTCTCTTGGCCGAAATCCCCTCATCCCTTTCTATTTAATTTCTTCCCAAAAGAAGATCTCTCTTTTGGGAAACAAATTAAATCCCTACTCCCTCTACAAGCCGCCAGCCCCTCTCTCCATACCTGCCCCTCTCTCTCTCTCCAATCTCCCTCTATCCACTTAACTCCCCACTGGAATTTAAGGATTGGATTTTCCTTCTTGATCTCCCATCCTATAACTTCTAAAATCTAAAATTTATTTCAGATTTTGGAAGGAAGCTTGTTCCTTGTCTCTTCTCTACTTCCCGTTGATGAGGAACCTCTTTCTCTTCAACAATATTCAAGAGTGCTAGCAATCTGTGGAAGACTTTGTCATCTAGCATATATGAATGGCGGATCTAGAAACTGAATACGGCCTCTCCTACGACGAGCACGGGTTTGTGTGCATCTTACATTCAACCTTCTTCGACGTCAACCCGAGTATCGATTACTCCGTGGAAGATTATATCAAGCACATCTTGGACACTTTGGTGGAAGCCATTGAAGAACAGTTAGAGATCGTTGAGTGGAGGATCGCCGACGATCCTTGATGAAGGTTCTCTACTCCTCTAGTATTTCTTTAGCCTAACTTTTCTTGTGAATTGATTGTAGTCACGAAGGACGCCTCCACCTGCTTCTGCTAAGTTTAGTAAACGTAGGGATTGAGTGTACTTCTTTGCTTACTAACTCTCATTGTTAGACTAGGGATTTTGATTGAAGCTACTACTCTGGCATGACGCTATTTTCTAATTTATTTTAAAGCTTCAAATCTCTGGTTATGTGACTTAAACTAAACGGGCGTGACCCCTCTTTCATTTTACTCCGTTGTTTGATATGCTTGTTGTTTTCTTCGTTATTCTCTAATCAAATGTTGTGCAAGATCTTACAAAATCATTACATTCATACGTAGTCCTACATCACTTATACTCAAGACATTAAGGATATGTATACTGGCGTTGTTGCTTATGTTCAAACACAAGGTGGTTTGGCCAAGTATTTTCCTATTTCAGTCGGATTACAACAAGGACCAGCTTTAAGTCCATATCTTTTTGCTTTATCCATGGATGTTCTTAGTAGACATTTACAAGAGGATGTATCTGATGTATGCTTTTTTCCAATGATATTCTTCTTGTTGATAAGACTATAGAGGGAGTTGAAAGTAAACTTGAATTATGGAGGTCAATCTTAGAGTCTTAAGATTTTCATTTGAGTAGATTTAAAACCAAATACAAGGAGTGTTATCTTCATAGTAATAGATCTAGTGGGGGATTCTGACTTTGGGCAATCAAGTCATTAATAAGAGTACATATTTTAGATATCTTAGGTCTATTATTCATAGTGATGGTGAAATAGATGGGGATATTATCAGTAGAATCCAAGTTGGATGGCTAAAATGTAGGAATGCATCTAGCCTGTTGTTTGATAGAAAAGTACCCCTCAAACTTGAGGGAAATTTTTGTAAGATGGTGGTGAGACGTGTAATGCTTTATGGCGTAGAATGTTGGCCATTAAAAGAGAGGTATACAATTAAGTTAAGTGTAGCAGATATGAGGATGCTCGGGTGGATGAGTGACTTTACTTTTAAAGACATAATGTGAAATGAGCATATACGTGAAAAGGTTGGAGTAGCTCCAATGGAAGATAAGATTTGAGAGAGTCACCTTAGATGGTTTGGTCACATAAAATGTTGGCCTTCTGATGATCTAGGAGAGTAGATGTATTAGATTTGACCTATGTTAAGAGAGGTGGAGATAGACCTAAAAAGACTTTGTTAGAAAATATTAGAATTGAACTTTTTTTATTAAAATTTAAATGAGAGTTGGATTGCTAACATGACAAAATAGAGAAAAAGAATTCATGTAGTCAATACAACGCAGTGGGATAAAGGCCTAATGTTAATGTTGCGTTGATATATATATATATATGCACACGAGTGTGGGTGGTGTTGCTCGAAGAGTAATTCGATGGATCTTGCAGAACAGATTCAAGGGAGTTTATGTTAATAATTTTAAATGAAGGTGAAGAATTTCAACAACATTCAACAACAAAATTCTTAAAAAAGAGACAAACAATTATCTGGGCTTGCTAAAGCGGGTCCTTATGAAAGCAGTTTTTGTAATATGTATTTAAGTACATCAATCAACAAGAATATTGTTGGGAGGGGGTGTTCCTCGAATAGTCATTGACTCGATCTTAGAGAACAAATTCTTGTGAGTTTATGTTAATAAGTTAGAGCCAAGGTGAAGGATTTGAACAGCATATTCAAATAATAATATTTTTAAAATTGGGACGAACAATTATCTAGGCTAGCTAAAGCAGTATATATAATTTGTATTTAGGGCAAATTTTATATAGGAGCAGCTTAACCCTCAAAATTAGCAAAAGGAGCATGTTTAATACAAAATTTAAAAAGGAGCAAATTCGTTAAATAAAATAGTGCATTTACAATGCGCCAATAGAAATAGGGCATTCTGAATGCGCTATTTTGTTTGGCACATTCAGCTCAAATAGGAGGAGAAATATAGCTAGAGAGAGAAATGACTATTTCCAAAAAAACAAACAATTAGCCAAAATTTTTGGCAAATTCTCCTCACCTTGGGATGAGAGAGAGAGGGAGGAGAGAGACGCGGGAGAGGCATGAGAGAGAGAGAGAGGAGAGGGAGAGGCTAGATGGAGAGAGACGGGTGAGAAAATTTTTAATTAATACAAAAAATTCATTCAAATAATCAGATAAAAAAATTAATTTATAAAAAAAATTATTTATATTTATTTTAAGAAAAATGAAATATAAATTACAAATTATATTATAACTATACTTATATTTAAATTATATTTATATTGAAATTAATTACCAAAAAATTATGTATAATCCAAGGTTGCGAAAACCGGACTGAACAACGAATCAAAAGAAGGAGAGGTTTATGGTTCAACCAGTCGAACCGAATGATGTAATAAATAATAATATTATTAAAAGTAATAAAGTTAACATAATAATAATGACAATTTAAGCTTAATTCTAAAAATTTTGAGACTAAAAATAAATAAAATTCATACATATATAATATATTACATAATTTTAAAATTAAATATAAATAATTATTATATTTATGTTATATATTTAAATATAAATAATTACTAATTTTAAATTTAAATATAAATTTTGAACCGCCCTGAAGAACCAGTCCTAGAAACCGTTGACCGTCGTTCAAATCCGGTCGACCGTTAATCGCGTCCGTTTCTTAAGAAGCCGGCCGGTTCAACTTAGAATATATTTAATATTTTAATTAATATAAAAGTTTAATCATAAATATTAAATTATTTAAAGTATCATATACTTTTTTAACAATATAATCCAAAAATTTAATTTGATATTATTATATTAGAATTTAAATATAAATAATTTGTCACCATGATACCATAAATACCAGTATAAGCTCCGAACCTATGGACAAGGAAAGGTATATAAAAAAGCAACAACATAAAACTTCTAAGTGATGTGCTGGACTAAACAATTTATTTTTTGGTTAACTAGTTTCAACAATGGTGCTACATGAAGATTTGATTTGAATGTGAATTTATATGGAAAAATTTCTTGTTAGAATATTCAAATAAAACATTATTAATAATTTTTAAACTTCTTAAAATTTAAATTATATTATATATTTATAATTATTCAAATAAAATAATTATTTATTAATTTTTAAAGTTCTAAATACTTTTTCTAAATGTGAATGAAATGGATAGAAAAATAAAAAATCTTAAAAATAAAAATTGTATTGACTTTTATAAATATTGTTTATAATTGTAATATATTCTTATATATAATTATATATGTAAATTATGCTTAATATATAACATAAATCAATTATTTTATATTAAATTCTATATATTATATATTAAACTAAATTTTTGTTAAATATAATTAAATCAAAGATTGAAGATA